AGCTGTCCACGGTCCGTCCCCGCCGCGTGCGCGTCCACCACTGATTGCATTCCGTCCGGCCGGCTTCTCCGGCTCACACCTGAGGCGGCGCGCGGCGCTGCGTCGGCGGCGGCGCGGCGCCGAGCGGTCCGACCGGCCGGCCAACACCCCTCCCCTCCGCGGGTCCACGGCGCATCGACGGCGCTAATGGGACGGCACCCCATGCAGCTCCTGGCCGGCCGAAAATAGACACAGCGCCGGACACACGTGTCGACCGAGAGAGGCTCTTTGACCGTCAGCGTCACACACCAGGAACTGCGTGGGAACGTTAATGGAAACCTACCGAAAGGGCTCACTCTGCGCTATACGGGATCCCGACGGGAGCCGACACGGAGCACGATGAAAGGGAAGTGAATTGGGAACGGTGGCACCACTCTGCCGGACGACAGGGCGTTTCCGCCTGCAAGGTCGGCTTGGAATACAGCCCGGATCGCGGCGGGGTGCTGCCCATTGGGTTTATCACCGATTCAGATTTATTTATGTAGATTGTGCCATTTGAAATGGCAGGTGAGCACGAGCCGGCTGATGTAAATCCGGCTGGACTAGTGGCGGCCGATATGAGAACGCCATTTAGCGATAAATAGGCATAATGACGCTATACGAGTATGAACGCCTATAAAGAAAAAACTGAGCATTTACAAATATCGTGATTTTGTTGTAGAGGTCAGCTAACACATAGAGGCTAAATATAACATGTATTAGGTATCACTTAAGATGTCGAAAACTTTGCGTAATCAATGTCAGCCGTGCTTATATGCATTGTTGGTAAAATAACTTCCATTGCACGTCGTCCGAGAAAAAAGAGATCATAAGGATAGGTATTTTGTATTATCGCATTATCATAGATAATGCAAGAGAGCAAATTTAAAAGCAAAGACACGCAATGATCGTACCTTTTAGATATCGTCAAATAAGTAATTACCTATACATTCGGGTGTCCGGTGGGAAATTGACTTGAAACATCCTTTCAAAGGTTTGGGAGCGCAAAGTAAATTAGGAATATTATGATAATGTGAAAGCAATGAAACCGGAAAATTCAGACAGCAATAACAATAAACCTTATAGAAAGAGCTCATCAGTACGCCACGTGTCAGTCAGCTATTTAAATGGTGTTCAGCGAGCGCGTCGCTCCAAGTGACATTCAGCGCCGCGGGCGCTGCACTGTGGGCGCTCAGAGAAGGTCAGGCAGTGTCGCCGCGGGCGGTTATTGCCCTGACCCGGAGCCGGGCGTGACGGCCGGCAGCCCAACGTCAGAATTCCTGACCAGCTGCAGACGTGCGCTTTGTGGTGCAGAAACTAATGTTCGTTGGCAATAGAACATTCATCAAAACGCCATCAGTATTTGAAACGGAACTCTCTTTCAAAGTCAGTGGTTGATGTTTCGACAGTGGCGATGCGGATTTTATTAGACCGGTGGATACCAGAAGCGATAAACTTTTCGCACGGCAGTCGTTCACTGCTGCCGTCTGTGAGGTCTGTCCCATCGTAAAAGAGCCAGCGCGGTGTAGCCAGGAAGTTCAGTGAACCACAGGCACCAGTTCATCTGAATGAACGTCAGTGGGAAGGCCACCGCGGGGATATGATGTGCCGATAGCACCGGCACAACATGGGGGCACCGGCATGGTCCGATCGCCAGTCGGGGGAGTTTACCACGACTCAGAAACGTGGGCCTTCCTATGCTAACATATCAACTTATATTAAGCACTCCCGAATCGGGCGTTAGTATGTAATTTGTACATGTACAGCTGCTGAATATGCAATGGCCATGGCGCAGATGCATGGCTATGACCAAGAATAGCATTCAGACCGTGTACTTTTGTGGCTGGTAGGCTGTGTGTGACCGATGTGGCTGGCCACAGCTGGCCGGCCTACCAGACCAGAAGTAGAACCGATGCCCACAATGGTCCGTCATGGCTGCGGATCGTGGCTGTGGAGCCTTTCCACCAGGGGCGCGGGAACTACTTTCCGACTGGGGGGGCACACCATAATAGAGATCAACCTAGGGTACCCCCAAATCTAGTTTGCTCACCGGTTTTAGGCCACTTGTTTTTCATCCCTCGGTTTTTTCAACAAAAAAGAAAACATTTGCAAAAAAGTGTGATTTTCCGTCTCAAAGCTGTGGGGGCACCGCCCCCACGGCCCCAGAGTTGGGGGGGGGGGCAAGCTGCCCCCACTGCCCCCCCGGCTCCCGCGCCTTATATGCTTTCCACAGCCTAACCCAACCATCCCTCGAGTGGCCCCTCGGAAACAGGCTAAGGAGGACACCCTGAAGGACGGCTACGATCGCAGACTGATGCACTGGGACTTGTGTCGTGCTTGTACCGTGTTGACATGTTGTAGTGACGCGAACTGATAAGTGCAGCGGCATCAGTGGCATTGCCTGCCGCCTGACGATAGCGGTCATTTGCACACTGCAGCAACTACCAGTAAACTTGGACAGCATGTCGAATTCCCGCACGGTATGACGCGTCACAGTACGAGACGGTGGCCGTTGGCGGTGCGGTATACGATACAGCACGGCACGACACCAATAGTGGCGCACAAATGAGCCACATGCGTTCATCGTCAGTTATTAAGCCATTTCACCTTTCTGGATGCATCTCGTCTGATAAAGGTAGGCATGTTTCAGCGACGCATTAGTGAAAATTGCATCATGGTGTGAAGGTAAATATGCGTGCAAAATCACTTTTCCTCATGATGGGTTTAACCAATCTGTGGTTCCCTTAACCATGCTGCCTTGAACGTTGCATGAGCTTGGCCCTGCCAACTACCTATAGCGTCATTTTGATGGTATCTTAGTAGGTGTAATTTTGACGTCACCTAGGATCCAAAAAGCTAAAAATGTGTGGTGGGTAGATTGTAGAGTATTTTAGGCTAGTTACTGTGCTTTGGGATATACCAACCCTCCTGGCTGCAAATGCCACATAATTGTTGACTTTTAAGTGTCAACAATTATGCCACATTAATACCTTTGGGCTCAAGTAGTGATAGGTAGGTAAAGCAGTAAGTTTGGCAAAATTGCCTATCGTAAGCGTGCAGCCATGAGGCATGATTACAAACAAGGCAAGGCATGGGATAGCGTTAGCGGCGCTTTTGAAAACCTGCTGTTCAGCTTTTGACGTATGCATCAGTCCCCTAAATCCTCTGTGAACTGCTAATAATTGTCAACTTGAAGATGTTTATAGCAATAAACCAAAATTGAGCCCACTTACGATTGGTGAACTACAAAACTTTCGAATATTGTGAATCTCGATGCCTCGCATGATTCCTTTTAAATGCGCATTGCCATTTTCTATTATGTTTATTCCATAAAATTAAACACTTAAATTCATCTCAAATGTTGAGTTTTGACATTGGCGAATGTTTGAACAGAAATTAAACTTTGGCCAATAGCTGACGGTGAAATGTGTTTCCATTAATGATACCTACGATATTATGCCTATCGTAAAAAGTATCTTTAAAAATATCTTTAAAAAGTTAAAAATATCTTTAAAAAGTTTTAACAAAAAATGAGCTGCCTTCCAGACATAAGGTTATGTTTTGTTCAGAGACCCTGACCTTGTCCCCTGAGGACAAGGTCAGGGTCTCTCCTTGTCCCTCATTCGTCCTTTCAAACATCGCGGTTTCCCCGAACCTGTCAATTTGTATAAAACCGCAAGCGTAACAAACGGTGGTCCGATATCGGCGTTTTTATTGCCGACAGTCTATGTTGTGACCCGGTGCTCGCTCGTTTTTATTACCGACAGTCTATGTTGTGACCCGGTGCTCGCTCGCCGGGGACGTCCCGTGGCACGGTGTCTTCCCAAGCCAAGGGCCGCTCCCGGATGTAGCCATCTCCCAAACAGAGTTCGGCTCCGTTTACGTTACGGGCTACCTGACGATGGGCGCTTTTATTACCCTGGGTCGCTCCAGCCATGTGGCGCTCATAAACAGAGGACCTGTCGCCGGCGGCGGCGGCGGCGTGCCAGGCGCCGCGTACCTGCGCCGCTCGCTGCACCTCCAGCCGGACACTGCGGTTGGACTGTTCATCGCGGGACAGTACCGCCGTGTTCGGACAGCCCTGAACGGGAGCGCGGCCTGCCCCGCCCGCCGGGCGCGCGCTGCTCCCCGCCGCCGACGGCAGCCGGTCCCACTGGCTACCCCTGCGCTGCACATCCGCCGCAACCCGCGCCACGTCCGCCGCAACCCTGCCGCGGAATGGCGCCGGCGCCGAGGTCAGCTTGGTGCCGAGGTGTTCAGAAGAGCTGGTGTTCTCCGGGGATCCACAGGGAGAGCGCGAGGGTGGCCGTTCACTCGTAATACCGGTTAACAGTTGAGTAATGGTATTACGATGAATCGGGTAACTTCGGATGATGAGAGGTAAAACTATCGCAAGTCTTCAGGTGATTTGCTACAGGTGAAGCTCCTTCTGCGAATCTCGCGTCAGTAAAATTATTGTAAGTATAAAGCGACGCAACCTATCAGAAGCGATTGCTCATTGGCACGGCTTGGTTACATTTGCCACATGCGTACGAGCCATCGCCACGCTGACAACAGGACACGATCTGATGCAGCAGCTGTTTAACCATGTGCCGTGGACTGTCATCTCCATATGAATGAAACTATAGTGGTCTTTACGCAACAAAAAGGCTTTCCCATGGCCTCCGCCCTCGTAAACAATTGTGAAGACAGTATGATGATGCCAAAATGACGCCACAGAACTAAGGGGCTACCAAGCTACCACAAGCTCGGAATTTCTGAGCCCATTCATTGTGATTCCAGAAGTCACATTGCATGTGTGTGGCAGGTCGTGAGGCTGCCGTTCTGCTGTGGTAAATTCCATCTATGACGACATATTCCGGCATTTTCAGTCGTTTGGCAAGCCGTGCATGAATATTTGTATAAAAATATCTGTCATTGTGCGGAATACCCATGTTTATCTATTCGAATGCGTGACGTACCGCTGCATTTGACTCACTCACCTTGTCCTGATGGTGTCATGTTGCTCCTCATCGAGGTGTTCGGAGGCGTTGACGGGCGATTCTTCGCCCTCTTGGCTGATGGAGCCCACCGAGCGACTCTTGGAAATCGCCTGACCCTGCCGAGAAAAGACGAATGACAGAAGTTATTGCGGGCGACAGCAACCGTAGGCGAGTCGGTCACTGCAAGGGCTCCAACCGTTCTATCACATTGAAAACACTCATCCAAAACACATTGATGGGACGAAGAGCAGGGAAGCCCCACCACCAAATGTCCACCGCAGCAGAATTTAGCGAGCTCTCATCGATAAATGCTTATGAAAAGTAGGACTCTTAGGGCTCAAGTCAATGTCGCCAGATGAACTTCCACTTGAGTCAAGTGGATGTTCATCTGGCGACATTCCACAGAGAGAGAGAGAGAGAGAGAGAGAGAGAGAGAGAGAGAGAGAGAGAGAGAGAGAGAGAGAGAGAGAGACATGCAGACAGACAGACAGACAGACAGACAGACAGACAGACAGAGACAAAGGGACAGATACATAGACAGAGACAAAGATAGAGACAGAGACAGAGACAGAGACAGAGACAGAGACAGAGACAGAGACAGAGACAGAGACAGAGACAGAGACAGAGACAGAGACAGAGACAGAGACAGAGACAGAGACAGACAGACAGACAGACAGACAGACAGACAGACAGACAGACAGACAGACAGACAGACAGAGACAAGGACAAAGAAACAGACAAATCTGCTTGGTGTGAGGTAATCCATCGACGATTTCCGTCACTAGTCAGCAGAGCGTATCGAGGCCAAGCGGCGCAGTGGGGAATAGGGATGGAGCTGCCAACAGTGGCGTGTGAGTGGTGGTCAGTGGACAACCAAAAATGATCCTCGCCGCCTGACTCAGCAGTGCATTGACGTCACGGATGATGAAATGTGTGCACACCTTCCGTGTCATCCATTGTGCACATACCTGCTCGGCCGCGGTCGGCAGCCGAGCTGTCAGGCGATCTCGAGACTCGCTCGACACCCTGCCCCGTCACGCAAGGTAAGCGATCTGCAGCCACTGCGCAAATGGAGCTGAAACGCCTGGTGAAGTCGCGAGACTCGCGGGGGTCTTTAGCTTAACATTGCTCACGTCAGACAGCTTTCGCCGTAAGCCTCTGTAAGCCTGCCAACGTCAGAAACTTCTACAAACACCCATTACCTACACCTCCATCAATTCCGCGGCCACCACCAGTTCTGCGTGGTCTGACGGGTTTCGCCGATCACAGCCAGCCGCACCGGCTGCTCGGCGCTCTAGACATCTCCGTGTTGGTGGTGGGCAGATGGCACGTCAATAACCCGTGCCCGGTGCCTTTGGGCAGCGGCCGCCGACCCGCCGCGCCGGCCGAGCCGCCGCGGTCGGCGGCCGGTCGGCCCCCAGCCGACGCACGCGACGGTGTGACCTATGACGTCAGCGGCGGGGGGCGTGTCCTGAATCACACGGCCATCGCTCTCGACTCGGCGGCTATTTTGGGCGCCGGCTACCTGGCCGATCCGACGCCGTTTGACACGCAACCGCCGCTCGGCAGCTGGGGCCGCCTCCGCACTGAGCCCATCGAGCGTCGGTCGCATGTCGCACTGAGCCGAGCATGACGCAACGCCCGACTACGGGGCGGGGGCGGGGAACGGGGTGGGACACTGGGGACTCCGGAGCATTAGCATTTTCCCCAGATATACCTACCTTTTCAAGGTTCAAATGTATGCATAACCGAAGTATTGATATCGAGCCAGGCAGATTTATGTAGATACTAAATGTAGGCCGCATGAAAAAAGGCGCATGATAGCCTGCCCGTCTACGATCTACGATCGCTAATTCTTCGACTTCATCATTGTTGGTATCAATGTCAGCAATGCGACCAGCGACAAGTCGAAGGAAATGTCTGTTTGACGCTATGCAATTCTCAAAACCCTGTAGAACGCTACACTCAAGCATATTATATCAAAGTGAAACATTCTTCAAAAGAAGCTAGGAACTGCGCCATATCCGCCTTGCACCATTTAAACCCAGCCAAAAGTCGTCTGCGGGAATCATTCCTCAACTAAGCGCTAGTCATGTTCGCAGTATCTCTATTGAGTTTTACCCATCCCATTTTTACTGAAATTTTGCAATCCATTGCACCCTGAGATCCGTGATGACATGGTCCGTGTCATTTGCTCTGAAAGGAATCGTGATGAGGCATATTCTCCCGGATGCCCAAAGCCACACGACAAACACCTGCAGGCGAGCTCTCTCAGGTTTTTACATGTTTTGCATGTTTTGATGCATCTCTTCCGGGCCCATTGTAGACTTAAAATCGGGAAGAGCTTGTCCGGCTCGTGTGTATGTGTTAAACAATTTCTTGCATTTTTAGTGGTTTCATAATTATCTAGAGTCGTGATCGTGGGCAAAGTTTCAGCTCAGATATCTCCCAAGCTCACACAGCTGGCGGTGGTGGGAGGAGAAGATACGTCCCACATCGTCTCCCACGCTCCATCGCTAATGGTCAGGATATTCCCTCCCTTCTCACTTTTACGACCCTATCCCCAAAGAAGGAAGCTGCCACTCATTGGGTGACAGCGCCTGCTGCCGTCGAGGTCAAACATCGAGCAAGTCTTGTTTGTTCTTTCAGCACTTGACCTGCACCTACAAACTCGGCTTGTTTGCCACGCGCTGAACACAGAAGCTTCAGTCTTCACCGGACGATGCTTGAGATCTCGCACGGTATTTAGGACGCACCCTATCCACCTGAACCTTGACCTGCTGACACTATGGCCCACTGCAACACCAACTCTCCTTACATAATTCCTAAACTGCCTCCTATGTCTGTCTGCGAGCGGCTTCTTCTGACGGTTCACAGGTGTTCCGTCTCACCGGTCGACTGTAACGACCTGGCGTAGCGGACCCGAAGTGGCGCCGATCCAGACGGCAGGGCGCCGATCGCGGTCCGCGACCTCTCATCTCGCAGTGAGTAAACATTCAGATCGGCGTCCAAACAGCCTCTGACGGGCCGTGAAAACACCCGGCTGGCTGGCTCTCCCGAGTCGCTGCGCGGCGGTGTTGAGTGACGCCTCCTGAGGTCACCCAGCTCCACCCCTCCACCTCCGTCCCTACCACACGTCCCCACCACACGTCCGTGACGCACTCGGCCTCAGCATCCGCGTCCACTCCCACGTAAAGGTGAGCAATGCGTCTAACGCAGTGTGCCCCCTCCCTACACCATCCCACCCGGATAGGTTCAACGCAGTCCAGTGGGGCATTAAACGCTTCGCCGTACACAGCCGTAATAAGCGGCCGAAAATAAACTGGTCGGCGCGATACGTGCCGTCCGCTGTCGGTGAACGGCAGGTAGTTCGGTCAACTCAGCTCGGGGAGCGGGTTCTCCCCATAGACCGCCGCGTCCCAAGATAGCGCCAGCATGTGGTCCTCATTGGCAGCAGCTCGACAAGTCGGAGATACGCGTGACACGACCCGATATAGCCGGCACGACAATAACATCAGTCCATTGTGCCGCCCTCCTGACAGTACCGGACGCAAAACAATGCAGCTAACAAGTGTTTGGCGGATGTCGATGCCAGAAATATCACCGGCTGGATATATCGGTACGGCCGGAGGCATTCCGATGAGCTAAAAATGATCTGATGATAGATGCGTAAATGTCGTCCGGTACTCCGAATCATGTAAAACTATAGGTGAAACTACGCCACACTTTTCTCCCATTCTGGATATTGCCACAGCAGTTCAACTATTTTTGTTGTTGACCATCCACCCGCACTCTATAACTCTGAATGGCGTCATGGCGTTGTTTGGGTGATTCCAGGGGTGTCGTTTTCCGAAAATGATTGGTAGGGCCCAAAGGCGGCGGCCGGCCATATGTGACGGGGCTTGAAAGGTAGGGTACCCCCAAATCTGCCTTTCTCAACGGATTTCGGCCACTTATTTTTTCGCCCTGGTCATTGACAAGACAAACCAAAATCTAAAAAAAAAAAACATTTTGGAAGTCTAGGTCCTCACCGAGCTCCATGCACAAAACGTGCAGTTAAATAGGCAGTTATAATAGTGTCGGAGGAATGCACGCCATTCTGAAAGAGGCCCACGCCGACTTAAAAGCACGGCTGGAAGGGGCCAGAAACGGTTTTCATGGCCCAAGCCGAATGAAAAAGACGGCTGCGGGGCCAGGATCGGCTTTGAAGGCCCACGCCCCACGCCAATTGCAGGGTTCGACAACTAACGAGGTTTCGAAACACCACGATAGTTAGAAAGACCTGCTTGCCAAAATAAAAGGATGACAGTACGAGCCGGCATTCAGAAAGTTACATGCCCGACCATGAATAAGCAGAGAGATACATCATCGACTTATTAGACCAAAAAGTTCATTTATTCAAATAACCACCGCTAAGACCAACACATTTCGCGCAGCGCTTCGGGAGAGCCCTCAAAGTCTCCATAATCAAGTGGGTTTTGGACCCATCCCACGTCCAAGACGGCTGCTTTAGTCTCCCTGCAGTCAGCGAAGTTGCCACTGCTAATTTCCTTATGTGGGGGAAGAGGTGGCAACCAGAGGGTGCAGGGTTCGAAATAAAGTGGATGCGACAACAACTCGAAGCCACATTTCATCGCTTCACTGATCGTCACCCCGCGCATGTACGCAGGTGCGTGGCCGTGGATCAGGTGCACACTTTGTCAGCTTCCCTATAGCCTCTCCTCGATGTCTATCGAATGGATGCACATCATCAATTGTGCGCCCCTGTTTTAGAAAGTTGACAAGCAGAGCCCCGTCGGCATTCCAAAATGCAACCACTATCACCTTGCCGACTAACTTCAACTCGTAACACTCATTTGGTGGCCGTTACTCGGTGTGCTTCCACTTGCGCAACTCGGCACGCTGTCCCTTGGTGTCAACGTGTGACACCCATAATTCCTTTACGGTGACAAGTCAATGACATCTTCTAGATATTCGATAAAGGGGTCAAAAACACCGCGCTAAGCCTCCTTTCGAGCTTGCCTTTTCTCTGCAGAGTCAGCAAACGGGGGATACATCTTGCAGAGATCTAAAACATAACATGATAGATTCCAGTGGCGTAGCCAAGTGGGGGGGG